AAGTTTAATAAAATGATTAATAAAACGCGAACTCGTTAATTAATACATTTTGTAAAAAAAATCTCAATTATTTACCGTAGGAAAGAAAGTGGTATTCAATGAGATGGTCATCATGTAAAATCCCAGTTTATAAGGTGGTTTATCGAATCTTGTTCCGGTCCAAAGATCATTGCTAGTAAGACCGCCGTGCTTCTTTCGCGACTTGGTATTAAACTCCTTTAGCTTTTCCATTGGTATATTTTGAGTTTTCATCACTTTCTTCCCATAATCTTCGTTGATATAGGCACACTGGATGGACGAACCAACGTAATAGGAGTTTCCCCAAAAGAAGCTATTAGTGTATCTGCCTGAAGCGTCATTCGCTGTAACAAACGAAAGATTTGTCATAAGATTTTGAGTAAATCTTCATAAAGATTTCATAAACTCAACCATCGTTCTCTTTTTTTCTGTATAGAATGACTTGCTAGTTGTAACCAATGACCTACTTTATCACTCAAGATACTTTCTCTCTGCTGAACGAGTGACCATATCCGAATCGCTTTGGATGAAATTCCAATGAAAGCTAATCGTTGGGTGAGTGACGTTTAAGTAATCAGTACTTGACAAAGGATTTCAACGTTCACAATTACTTTTAACATTGTTCGATAATTAATAATTTTTCGCTTATACAATCAATTCTATTTCACACATCCTTATTTAATATTAAATAATATAGAATCGTGTTTGATGTCGTAAGCTGGATATTAGTCAACGGTATTCATTTATACTTTCATAATGGACGTTCGATGGTAGATGTTATCGTGCTGCTACATAATTTTCATTACCAAAGATTACGACACCTATCGCGGACTGAGAATCCAGCTGTTCTCTAATAAGACTTTCTACTCGAGAAGAAAGTGATATTATCTAATCATTCTAACCATCATCGCGGTAAACCGTTTCTATGGATCGGTGTATGTACACGGTGCGTAGCATAATCACTAATCACGATTTGTTGCATCATCCATAAATTACAGTTGCAAAATAAATTGCAACGTCATAGTTGTGCACAGAAACAAATTTGCCGAAGTTTCCCTCCGAAATATTTTGCAATTGATTTCCGCTAGTACAATATCTCATTTGTCGAACATTACCACTGAAATTATTCCTCCTTTCTTCTGTCTTTTTTTTTTTTTTTTTTTTTTAATTCCATTATTCGAACGTTATCCTTATCTGATGGATTCGTGAATCAAATTCGAAAGTAATTCCTGACCTTGCGTATCTCGTAAGTATTTGAGTCAGTCAATGGAATTTTTACAATCATCTCCGTAATCCTGGTAAAAATAACGGGGAATCTTATTATCGATTCCGTTCGCATAAAAGTAGAATCGTGCGTCGCAACGAAATTAGAATAACAATGTATTTGGTGCGTTTACAGTGATTTTTGACACAATCAACATTGTCATCTATCACTGAATAATAGATCAAGTTCAATTTCTAGACGTGACCAGTTTCTTCATTGATTCGTGATTGATTGAGAAGTGAATAATCTTGCTTATTTTCAAGAGCAAATACAAGAGAGAATAAGAACCATATATGAAGTATTTTTATCATTGAAAATATTCAGTTCAGATAAATGATCGAAAAGTTCAGAATTTGCGCCTCCTTAACTTTCTCTCGTCCTCAGGAAGAAGCAATAGCAGACACGATGGCGTTGGAAATCATTAATGTCAGAAGAGGCTTGTAAAAAAGAAAAGAAAGATCAGAGTGAGGAACAAAATAAATTCCATAAGTTCGACCGGTTTACAAGGTTTTCTGCTTGGAGTAGCATGCTCGTGACCAGACTCTCCTTCATAAAGTTCAAGGGCTATCGCAACAAGAGTTATTGAAAAAGTACCGATTCGGTCTACTGCGTATATTCATTGTTCATCGATCAACAAATACAGTGAAATACAACGAAATCTATGCAAACATTTGAGCAACGTCTTGCATGTTTAAGTAGTGAGTCGTGAATGATATTACGACCATTGCTGAACTACTATTGAAATTTTGATCGAAAAACGTAAGAGTTTTAATTAAACTTCACATACGTGTGTTTGTCTATCGGGCTGGACAATTAATTGGAAAATTGATACGTAAACGAAATTGTGAAATGGATTAGTTTGGCGATCAACTTTAATTCTCCTTGGACTATATATGGATTATGGAAGTATTGCGATATTAATAGAAATCTACTTGAACGTTCGTTGATTTTTAAATTCTCTATCACTTCAGAAATATTCTCGTTAAGTGTCTTTTGATATTTCGCTTGGATATATAAATGTGAATTCATTAGTACCAGCTATAATATATTTAAAAACATACATTCACCTTCAACCTTTTAATATAGACTCTAAAGGACGTGTATAGCATAGCTGGTACTTTTTCTCGTTATTCATAACGTATGACGCGATAAAATGATTGATGATTCAGAAAGAACAGTTCGAGGATCTGTTCATTGATCGGTTGCATCAAGCTGCGTTACGCGACTCCAGAATAAAATTATAACGCGTCCGACTCGCTGTTCTAACCAGCAGGAAGTGAAACGGGCGTGTACGTTTTCCATAATCGGTGATCGACGAACGAAAACGTCCCCCGGTTACGTTCGCTTGCACTTTATAACCGATTGCTCGATTTTGCAACCAAAAATTAATTGAAACTTGCCTACGAAATATCGACTTGTCAGTGGACAACGAGCTGAGCGCTTCGAATCACTCGGTACGAACGATCCAAAATGGTTTCATGTGTAAATCGTGCTGAACAAACAGCGAATTCATCACGAAGGCCTGCTTTTCCCTCGATTTAGCGGACTTCAAAGATTATTAATTAAAAGACTATGACTATGTTCGAGACAACACCCAGGAGCGTATTTAGGCTGTTACACAATCTTTGGACGTATGTAGATATACCTGTGCTTTCTATTTTTTAATACATATTTTCGAAGGAAAACGCAACATCAGCGAACAAGAGGAACGAAAATGAATTTGACCAAGATTCTCTGTTCGTACCAGCGGCTGGAATTCCATCAATTTTCATTCCATCGATTTTCGAGTTTCGGGGAAGTTTCAAATAAGGTAAAATAAACGCGCTTGGAATGCGTTCCATTTGCCCATGCATGTTTACGTGGTAGGAAACCTGTTTAGATGTGAAACATATAGTAGAAAGTACATAAGAAAATGTCTGCTTACATAATACGGGGGTCGAAACATTAATCGAACGTGAGGAAAAGTCCGATAAATGTGAACTGCTAAAATGCAAACGTAAATATAAATACAAGTTGTTAAAATGCAAATATAAATGTAACCTGGACCATATTGTGCAAGATAAAAAATAATCGTCAAAAATGGATATATATATATGTATATATATGTATATATATGGATATATGTACAAAAGAACAAAGAACGTAAAAATACAAAATGACATCGTGCTCCACGAACTAGGAAGCGACAGGTAGGCGTGGTGCTTTTCCAATGATGTTCACGAACCACGAATACGTTATATCACGGTGTTTATGCAGTACGTGAAATAGAATGATAAAGGATCGTGAATAGCCAAAGAAAAGTTACGTGAAAGTTGCGTTTGCAAGCCCGGTTTCGACGTAATCCTTTCTACAGATGGTTTTTGTATCCAACGTGACGTAATTTCGATAATTGCCGCGGTTTCTACTCCGACCGTGTTCCTTCGTACGCGAGTCTTCCTTAAAACTTTCTAACGTTATGGTTATCATGAAGGATGTTCGCGACAACTCGTCCGTAAGCTATCGTCGAAAAGAGAGCATCCGTTGCCTTTATTATTACTATTATAGTGCAAATTTATGCTTTCGTGGAATGAAGGCAATGAAGGGAACGGAGAGATTTCTTTTTTTTTTTTTTTATTTATGGTTTATTTCGCACTTTTAGTCATCGTGTGGTGCTTCGAATACTTCATTTCACGAAGACGAAGCAAAAATTTCGAGTGAAAATCTTCTTCAACTCTGTGTGATAATTAAATTTATTTAAAAGAAAATTCCAACACACAGCGTAATTCAAAATCGAAATTGATCTAATCGAGTACGTAAATATCCATAGTCTAATCATTATTGTTCACACTTTGTTCGAGATTTTTCTAGCTGATTCGTTTCTTAGATTTTCTACTACTTTTACAACTAATTTGAAACATTATAATGGTTGCGGGTTCATGAAATATCATGAAATTATATTAAAGAATCCAGAAACTGTCGGTCGACGTTGAACCGATCGAAAATTAAACGAAGAATGCTTGCTTCATTATGAATAGCATTGAAAATGTCATAATGATAATGTTTCTAACGCTGTTCCATTGTCAGTACTTTTCATTGTGCAATTCTGTGTAAA